TTGATAAATAAAACAAATCACAGGAACAAAGTATAGAGGAAAGAATGATACTATTACTAATTATGGTATTAGCAGCTCATAAATAGCCCAACAATGTCCCGTGTACTTTTACAGTAGCTAATGTGATCATTACAAAATCCTACTGTTCCCCTTAGTAGATAAGAGAGGCAAGAGAAGTAAGCCTACCCAGTGACCCCCCCCCCCACACACACACCCTGCCCTGCTAAGGCACATTTGCAGTGAATGAGCATGGCAGCTCAAACTGTGAAGGAGGTGAAGAAGGGGGGAGCAAAAGTGAAAGGGAAGACTGAAAGTGGACCAAGGAAAGTACTCTTCCACTTGAGCAAAGCCTCCAGTATAGACTCTTGCTGGGTATTTTGGAAATGGAGTCTAGTGAACTTTTCTGCCTGGGCTGGTTTGGAACTCTAATCCTCTGGACCTCAATCTATTAAGTACCTAGGATTACAAGTGTGCCCCACCAGAACCTAGTACTAGGCACTAGGTCAGCACCAGTCACCAGGACTGGGTCTAAAGGTACAGCTAACAGAGATGGAAAGGAAAAAAGGAAGACAGGATGTTAAGACAGAAAGTAAAGGATCAAGGAGGTAGAAAACTGGTATTCACAGCCATTTTCTGAAAACTTTTGAGAGTGTGCACAGTGATTTGATTTTAGCAAAGCTCCAAACAGATGGATATAAGCCTTAGGCTGGTTACCATTGCTTACAACAGCTTGAATATCTCAGCTCTTTGAGTGCAATGCTACTGACCTTATCAGCTTAAGCTCAGCCTACTAGGTTGTCACTCCCGAACATTGCTCATAGCCATAGCTAAAAGGCCTAGAAAGCTCCCTTCTACTGACCAAACAGGCACAGCAGTGAAGCATTTCAGAGAATTTATTACCACTGAAAAACTTAAAGGGTTAGATGAATGCAGGCTTTCCAACCTGTGTTTCTAAAACTGGAACAAGTATCTTTATGATATCATTTCATGAGATCAAAATCACCAAGGTGACACCTATGACTATACCTTTAAGCCTTAACCCTTTTGTCTCCTTTCCTAAGTGCAATAAGTAATACAACAAAACAAAACCAAAAGCCTGGGGATGGTAGTAAAGAGCCTTGATCTTTGTTCTGGTTGATCACCTACATAGCTAAGTAGGACAGCCACAGTCTTTCTAGCTGGTTTAAAGTGACCTTCTCAGATCTATCCCCCATGATCTGCAATAATGACTTTTAATCTTTCATCAGGTGAATAAAAAGTGAGGGTAATAACTAAAGGGTTACAATAATGTGTTTGAGGAGAGAACATCATAGAATAGTACTCTGTCATGGTTATTTTTAGAATATAAGCTAAGGATAGAAACAACTTTTAGCTCCTATCCTACATGGAATTGCAGAGAAAGACCACACACATGGTAAATAGGAAGGGCAAAAGGAGCCCTGTGAATGAGCTGATCCCACACAGTGACCCTGGATCACCAGCTGTACTGCAGACCTGTCTATGCCCTACCTGAGTCCCACTGATTTCTAAGCATGGTGCTATCTTCTTGCAGGTAGACATCATGCTCTCCCAGAAACACCCAGCACTTTCCCTAGCCAATAGGAGCATCTTAGCTCTGGCTACCAGGACTGTGGTCACTGGTCCTAGCAGTGACATGGAGATCAATATGGCCAAGGCTCGGTGATACAATGACAGAGCAGGAAAGCAGGTACATGGGGACTTTTCCCTCAGACCCTGGGAAACTAGGGTGCAGCAGGCAGATGCTACTGCCACAGCATACTATTAGTAGAAATGAACAAAAAGGAAACACACAAATGAAAGCACCAAGAGTGACTGTTTGGGGGAGTTTTAGAAAGCTTCAATCAAAACAACAGACTCCAAACAACAATCATAAGTGCTTCTCAGTGACAATTTCAGTTCAGGCCTCCTTCCACAGTCATGTTCACACTATATCCCAGGCACAGAAAGGGGAACACAGACAGCCTCCCAAACCACCAACAGGCAAACCGCAGCATGCCTGACAGTGCTTCAGTATCGACAAAAACACAACGGCAGAACCCAGCACTGTGGGCCTACACTGTGCAACTCCTCCAAAATGTGAAGAATGGAGTCTGAGGCTCTTGGCTCATGTCAGTGCCCTGACCTCTGCTTTCAGTTAAACACCTTGCCAACTGCTAAGGAAAAGGATTCTGAAGCCTTGCTGCCTTCACCCTCCACTGATTTACTCTGTAACTCCACGTAATGCACTGAGCTCTGTACCTCAGGGTTCCTTCCCAAGTGGTGCTGATCAACACCTTCCAGCTATACCACTGCCACACCAAGGAACATGGCTGTTCTGTAAGAAAACACAAACTGGGTACTCATCTTTGGCAGGAAGGATATGATCATAATCTAGACTTCATTTAATCCAACAAATGTTTTTAAAAAAGTTAAAATAAGGACTTTATTTATAAGCATAGAAATAGTGGTCCAGGGGCTGGGAAGGTGGCTCAGTGGTAGAGTGCTTGCCCTGCATGCTGAGGCCCTGGGTTCAATTCCTCAGCACCACATAAGCAAAAAGAAAAAAGCTGGAAGTGATGTTGTGGCTCAAGTGGTAGAGTGCTAGCCTTGAGCTGAAGAGCTGAGGGACAGCGCCCAGGCCCAGAGTTCAGGCCCCACGACCGGATCCCCCCCAAAAAAAGAAAAAGAAAAAGAAATAGTGGTCCAGGCCTAGTGGTGCCTGCCTATAATCATAGTACACAGGAGGCAGAGGTATGAGGATCATAGTATGAGGCCATCTTGAGGGTGGGCTGAGATAAGGACTTATCTCAAAAACAAGCTGGATTACCCGCAGTGTTACACACTAGTCCTAGTTAGGTAGGAAGCAGAGGTATAGGGATCATGGTGTAGGAAAAAAGCATGAGACCCTGTCTTAAAAATAGTTAAAACAAAACAGGGTTAGAAGTATAGTTCAAGTGGTTAAAGCACTTGCCTAGAAAACATGAGGCTGGGGGCTGGGAAGGTGGCTCAGTGGTAGAGCGCTTGCCTTGCATGCATGAGGCCCTAGGTTCCATTCCTCAGCCCCATATAAGCAAAAAAGAAAAAAGCCGGAAGTGGCGCTGTGACTCAAGTGGTAGAGTGTTAGCCTTGAGCTGAAGAGCTGAGGGACAGCGCCCAGGCCCACAGTTCAGGCCCTACGACGGGACCTCCAAAAAAAAAACATGAGGCTGAGTTCAAACCCTAGTACCACTGAAAATAAACAAAGAAGCATAAGAATACTCTAAAAGCTCTACTTCCTCCCAGATATTTGCTATGCGAGAATGTGCCTTGAGATTGACACAATACATCCTACCAAAGCAGCCCCTGTTATTTCTATTTTTATAGGAAACTGAAGCTCAAAGAGGCTAAGTGGAAAAATAAGCCAAGGAACCTGGGAAAGGTTGTGGGAAAAACTTGCTGCTTCAGAGGTCCCGACAGTCTCAAAGGAGCCAAAGGCAATAGGGAGAGTAAGACAGAGTCAGGAAAGTATCCTTTTGCACTTGGCATTATGGAGGAAGCTGCCTCTGCCTACTGTCATCTCTCCTAGCACTTAAAATTCTGTTGGTATCATGTGTACATTCTCTCTCTCTCACACACACAGACACATACTCTCTCTCTCACTTACACACACTTGTATAGAATTGGAGTGAAAACATGAACTCTCACATGATATCATGAAATATCACACTGCAGCCCATAAATATGTACAACTAATTGCAGGTAAAAATAGTATTAAGACTATTAAATTAAGTCCAATTGACATGGAAGGGGAGGATGGGATTACAGAGAGGTCCAGGATCACAAGGGTCATAGCCACACTTCTTCATTTCTGTGTCCTTCACAAACTCTTCGCCAAGGGAGGCAGCAGGTATAAGTCAGGTCTTTAAATACTGGTACTACTTCCTATTTAAAAATGCATATGTGGGGTTGGAGTCCTGGCTCAGCTGGTAGTGCTCTAGCCAATGAGCGAAAGCATCAGCTACCAAGTTCAAGTCCTGGTCTCAGACAGAAGAAAAAAAGAAAAAATATCACGTATTACAGTTTGGATCTGGAAAATCCCCCAAAGGTCCATGTGCTAAAGGTTTTTCAGCACTTTGGTGCTACTGGTGGGGTGGGTGGAACCTTGAAAAGTTTGGGCCTCTTGGGAGTCTTTAAATTACCGAAGGCAAGCCCTTGAGGATTGTGGGACCTTGGTCTTTTCCTTTCTCTTTATTCTACAATCATACTTCTGCCATGATATGCTGCCCTGCAATAGGCCCAAAAGCAACAGTGTCAACTGACTGTAGTCTGAAGGCACTAAAACTGTGAGCCCAAACAAAACTTTTCTTCTTTATAAGTTGATTATCTTGTGTATTTATTACAGTAATGAAAAGCTAACTAATGTACATGCTAATAAGATTTAACAAAAGACTTTATTTATTGTTAGAGACTAGAAATAAAGTTTCAACCCATATTTAGAGTATTGGCCTTTGGTTACCCTTGCCTGGTCTACAACTGGCCATGTGCCTGCCTTTACCTACCTCCTCATTTCCACATACTTTGCTGTTCCCTTCTGTAGGCAGTGCCCCCGCTCTGCTCTCTGTCTGGAGAAACAGAATATTCTCTGCTCTCTGTTCTTCATTTTTTTTTTCCTCTGACCACACATGTACCACCAGTCCCAGTATCTGACCATATGTTATTTATCACTTTCTAAAACAGGGTTTTGTACTTCATTTCTTTCTGCATCAAGTCTAAGTGAACTTGTGAGTATACCAAGAAAAACAGAACAACATGAATTCAGGCATTTGATAATTTAAACCATTTCTGGCAACTATTTAAATAACAAAATCATCGCCTGAATTCTACTTTTTTCTTTGTATTTTCTCTTCCTAAGTACAATGTAGGCTTAGAATTAGGGACCATCCCTTCTATTTCTTTCTTATCCCTGTAATACCTACACTCCATCTCCAAGAATGATCAGCCAAACTTATGTGGTCTGTTACCTTTAGGTCACGGTGGATAATAGGAGTTTTGCATTGATGCAAGCGGGCAACAGCTTCACAGGTATCACAGAATATTTGAAGTACTTCATTCTCTGTAAAGCCTGTTTGTAGACGCTGGTTCATCAGGTTTACTACTTGACCTCCTGAGAAGGGTATAGAGCACAGGAGAGGTTATGAACAGGCAGACTTGTACCTTAGACCAAGAGAATGAATGGCTGTCAAAGGAGGAGCAAAGATTAAAGTAACAGAGCAGCTCACTAGCTGAGCTAGGCCTAAAACCACAGATATCTAGACACATAGCTTGAGCTTTGCCTTTCTCCAATCCAGTATCTCCTCTGATACATCAAGACAGTTTCTACATTTTTCAAAAGCACTGCAGATGTGAGCTGCCCTCATTATGTCTTCAAGATTAGTAACAGAACTGAGAATATGGTCCTGTTATAGTTGTCTGATTATACTGTCCCCATTGTGTACTCAATGGGGCCATAGCCTCAAACTGCTACATCCTTGACTAAGAATGAAATAACACAATAGACCCAGCAGGCAGGAAGAAGACTATCAGCAGTATAGTCTGTACTTTAGGAAGAGCTTAGTCTTTGGTTTCATTTCTTACTGCTTGGCTGTAGAACTGCTACATCATTTCATCTCCAGAACCAAATGCCTGATGACCACTCTTAAAAAGTATCCAGTTCCTCCTCTTACCTGTTCACTAAACATTGTATTGTCTCAAAAGAACTGAAGAAATAAACTGTCAAATTCAAATTTGGTAGTACCTTACAAAATCAATTTGTTAATACAAAATCTGAGATTACTGTTTAATATAATCTTTTGAGGACTTGGGTGCTGCTCAGAAGTATTGAACCTGCCTAGTATGCAGTAGGTCATGGATTTGGATGCCAGAAATACACACACACACACACACACACATATCACATTTTGGGAATAAGAAACATATAATTTACAAGAAAAAAGTAAAACTAAGGACAATTACAAAACAGTACTAAACAGAAAGGCAATGACCTAGGCTTATAGTTGGCAGCTGCTAAGACCAAAAAAGCCAAACCACCAAACAATGGTTATAGGCAGTACAGTCAACTCTGAACACATTCATGCTACAACACAGACTTCTCAAGATAAATGTTTGAAAATTCAAGCTTTCAACAATTGAACTCCATGGCTAAGAGCACTATCACAAGAATGCAGCCTTATTAGGAATTAGAGCTCCAGGGCAAAGAGTCAAGAGTCATCTCCATTAGACAAAAAAAATGTTGTTTCACATCATAACACAGATGGTAGTGTGAATGGAGAAGAGAAGACAAAAGTAAGGGAAGGAGGAGGCCATACTGCTTCTCTAGTCCATCTGTAATTAGGCCTTTATTATGTGCCTTCATTATTTGTTTTAAAGCAACATGAAGAATACATTCATTCTCATAAAGTCTCTTTTATACACACAACTAAACCTTCTGAAACCCAATAAAATGGAGTTTTGTTTTATGCATCATTTTCAATTGTTTATGTCACATGCTCTTGCTATTACAAGAATAACTAAGAAGGCTGGGAATGTGGCTTAGTAGAGTGCTTGTCTAGCATGCATGAAGCCCTGGGTTCTAGTTCTCAGTGCCACTGTAGGCACATAACAGAAAAAGCCTGAAGTGTGCTTTGAGCAAAAGAAGCTCAGGGACACTGCTGAGGCCCTGAGTTCAAGCCCAAGGACTGGCAAAAAAAAAAAAAAAAAGAGTAACTCAGGAAACAGCAGATTCTCTCTCTCTCTCTCTCTCATCTCTCTGTCAGTTGTGGAGCTTAAACTCAGGCCTGGGTGCTGTCTTTGAGTTCTTTTGCTCAAGGCTAGTGGTCTACCACTTTGAGCCATAGCTCCACTTTGGGTTTTCTGGTGGTTAATTGGAGCTAACAGTCTCTTTTTGCCTGGGCTGGCTTTGAACCATGATCCTCAGATCTTAGCCTCCTGAGTAGCTGTGATTACAGGCATGAGCCACCAGCACCCAGCTCTATATCTTTTTAATTGCTTTGTTTTCCTACCTGTAAAACCAGAACAAGATATTATACTGTGCAATACGTATTAGATAATGTGATCCCCTGCCCATGACAAAGTGCTGGAGAAAGAGTTGAAGGGTATGGTTCATATACCTACCTCTACAGAAGTCCATCAGAATGAGAACTTCCCATACATCACCACTACTCACATTGTTGATACTAGAATCAATGTAACCCACAATGTTCTTGTGTCCTGACAGGTCCCTCTGTGAAAAAGAATTGGGAAACATGTTGTCAGTTACAGACACCCAAAAGGGACAGAATTAACCAGTCAATTCTATTAACACAAGTAATTTAAATACACATAGACAATACCAACAGTGTCAAGGGGTTAAATCTACAAAATAGTTTTCCAATGTTCTCTGATTCATGGACAAATCTCCAGCTGAGTTCCACTGTCTTACTGAATCACAGCACACCCCAGAACCTAAATTCACGTATAAAGTGCACATAGATAAAATGCCTTCTTTCTTGCTGCCTCAGTGCCCCATGCAAGCCAGAAAGCAAACATTTGCATCTGCAGAAATTCTATTGAGGAATTAAGAGAAAAGGGACGGGCTATTTCAATGTGTCAATTTTGATACCACCCCCAACCTCAAACTTGATGCTTTTCCTGATTGTAGAAGAAAAAGTGAATTCAACTTGACTTTTAAGGAGGCCATATTTGTTTTCACACTTTGGAAAATATATAAAAAAGAATAACTACTTTACCAAGTTTTGAGGGGCTATAACAGTATCCAGACTTCAGAATTTTGCTCATAATGAAGCCTTTCAAGCCAATTGGGATGCAGAGGCATCAGCTAGAAGTACATGTAATCTCTTAGAGCTGCTCACAGAATACACTCTTCCAATCAATATTTACTGATAACCTCTAGTTTGTCAGGATCTCACAATCTGATATAGTCTTTTCAAAGACTCTAAAATCATATCTCTGTAATGATGATATTCAAATCCAAGGTCAATTAAGAACTAAGTTGGGAAAAGATCAAGTAAGAAAACTTGGTATTATGATTTTTATTACAAATACAGTAAGATTTTTTAAAAATTATTTTTAGAAATTGCTTTTTGATTTAAAACCCTAGCAGGGGGGATATAAAATATATAGTTGCGTGAAAACTACCATACAAACTTGACAGTGTGGACCATGAGAATGATAGAAGCTACTATTACCCTCATAGGAAATTCAGTTGTTACAAGGGACATCTCTTTCAATCTGAAATTACTAGAGTAAACTCAACAGCATCAAATGAGTGCACTTGAATGCTGAGTCCTAAAGTTTAAAACTTTTGAGCCCTTTCCTATGAATGATGGGTTAAGAATGACTACTGAGGACCTCTTAAAACAAAGACAAAGGTAGAAAGCTAACCATGGAAGTCTCTAGAGACTTATGTAAGAATAGTTTCAGAGGTATAAGTTACACTTGTGCAAGCAACACCAATGAATATAGGTTACATTTCCATAACATCTGTACTTAAGAAAGCAGCAGCACTGAGGGAAGGAACTTTCAAGATGAAGAAACTGAACACTGGAGAGTATAAAAGCCAGAAGAAAGCCTTAAGATACAGAAGGTGATGGAAGTTGATGGAACAGTCTTGTTGGTAAAGGTAGTAATCAAGAGTATTATTAAAAGAATTGACCTCAGGATAATTATTCTCCTGACAAGAAGCAGGCAATGATGGTGAACATATTGAATTAAGGATAAAGAAAAGGGGAATTCAAGAATGGGGGGCATGGTTCAAGTGATACAGCACTAACCTATCAAGTATAAGACCCTGAGTTTAAACCTAAGCACAACAGACAGGGAAGGAGAAAAGAAAGGAGAGAGGAAGAGGGAGGTAGGAAGGATAGGGGAGTGGGAGAGGAAGAGGAGACCGGAAGAAGGACAGGAGAGGGAGAGGGCAGAGAGACAGGGACAAAGACAGGGAGATCAAGTGAGTTCAGATCCATAGTTTCACTTTTGTTAAAGAACAAGGTCTTCACTGGATGCCAGTGACTCATGCCTGTAATCCTAGCTACTCAGGAGGCTGAGATCTGAGGATCATGGTTCAAAGCCAGCCCAGGTGGGAAAGTCCATGAGACTTATCTCCGATAAACCACCAGAAAACCGAAGTGACCCTGTGGCTCAAGTGGTAGAGTGCTAGCCTTGAACTGAAGAGCAGAGGGACAGCGCCCAAGCCAGAGTTCAAGCCCCACAATTGACATAAAAATCAAAAAAAGAACAAGGTCCTTTTAAAAATGTACAGGACAGGGGCTGGGAAGGTGGCTCAGTGGTAGAGTGCTTGTCTTGCATCCATGAGGCCCTGGGTTCGATTCCTCAGCACCACATAAACAGAAAAAGCCAGAAGTGGTGCTGTGGCTCAAGTGGTAGAGTGCTAGCCTTGAGCTGAAGAGCTGAGGGACAGCGCACAGGCCCAGAGCTCAGGCCCCATGACTGGCAAGAAAAAAAAGAAAAGAAAAGAAAGCTTGAAGCTCTGAGTTCAACTTCCAGTACTGCCAAGGGAAAAAAAAAAGTACAGGACAACTCCTCTGTACAGTATTTTTACAATAAATAATGTATTTTTTAAAAATGTACAGGACAAGAAAGAGAAGCTTGATGAGACCAGTCTTACAGCATACACTAGGGCAACAGTGAGGCTGGAAAAAGTCCTTAGAATTCAAGTTTTATAAACAAAATATTTCAGAGCTCAACTTCTCTATCCTTCCCCTCTGCTTTTCTGTCTCTTCACCAACCATTGATAACCAGGTTCCACAAGGAAGAATGAAAAACTAACATCTCTACATTTAACTATTTTTTAAAAAGTCAGCAATATTGCTTCTGAGTTAACCCAGTCCCTCAAAGTACTCATGAAAGAAAAAACAATTCTGAAAGAGCCGTGCTATGGTTTGAACATTTATATCCTCTCCAAAAATCCACATTGGAACTTACCATATCCACTATTATAATAGTATTAAAAGGATGGAGCTTTAAGGAAGTGATTAAATCATGAAGGCAGAATCCTTATGACTGGGACTAGCAACTTAATACAATAATAAAAATGAGAATTGTATATAAGTAACTTATTTCTGTTTGTGTGTAAGTAACTTGCTCTTCCTTGGAATTTCAATTCAATACTTACAATTCCTGATGTCAATAGTGCTTGCACTTCCAGATAGTAAATTTCCAAAGGAGTACATTTATCTGCTTTGATTCCCCATTCAAATACTCAGAGTTTTCTGGTTTAATGACCTGACTGTTCTGCTACTTCTAGGTTGACAGTATAATTCCACAGACCCCATTAATTGAATTTTAGCTTCTTAAACTAAAGGAAGGAAAACAGTTTTAAAATCTGAAATTAGTTTCTAAAATCTGAAATTAGTTTCCCATAGGGTACCTTTGTAAAAATCTTTTACTGCTTTACTATTCCCTTCTTCCTCTCTTCACAGCCCTAAATTTCCTTCAAGGGGGATTATTCATGGGCAAACAAACACTAAGTTCAGTACAATAAACACTGAGATCTGGACTAGCTCTGGAGTTCTATTGGAGACCCTATTGAGCTTTTCTGATACATAAAGTCCTAGGCATTTTTCTCTTCCCTACATTCATTTAGTCTCCTTTCCAAAGTCTTACTCATTAGTTAATCATGTACTTACTAAGTAGATCTCTAACGTCATCCAGAGTATGATTTTAGAACACTTTGGTAAGATTTTAATACACATTATGAATTCTCTGGGGACCTTGAAAAAGGCAGATCCTAATCTACTAGCCCTGGGATAGAACATGAAGTTCTCAGTTTCTAACTGATGCTGGCCAGTGATAGTTAAAGTAGGAAAGATCTACAGCAGTGCTGCTATTCCAAGTGTGATGTGCATACCTTGCTGGTTATAAACTGTTTACCCATCTGTAAGGAAATAGAAAACTTGCTTCAAGATGTAACTCAAACCACTAAGGTAATTTTTCTCATTCTGAGTTTTTATCTATGAGGAAATAGTTCATTGATTTATATTTTGGCACATGACCTTTAAATAGCACTTATACTTTTGACATGGGTGTCAAAAGACAACTCAATGGGCAACAAATGGTCTTTTCAAAAAGTGGTGTTGTAACAAATGGATATCCACATGTAAAACAAGGCATTTTAGTCCTTACCTTACACATGTACAAAAGTTAACTCAAAACAGATCGAAGGGACTGGGAAGGTAGCTCAATGGTAGAGTGCTTGCCTTGCATGCATGAGGCCCTGGGTTCGATTCCTCAGTATCACATGAGCAGAAAAAGCCAGAAGTGGCGCTGTGACTCAAGGGGTAGGGCACTATTCTTGAGCTGAAGAGCTGAGGGACAGCGCCCAGGCCCAGAGTTCAGCCCCCATGACTAACCAAAAAAGAAACAAAACAAAACAAAACCAGATGAAGACTTAAATACTCCTCACAAAAATTATACAGGCTCACACTTGTAATTCTAACTACTCAGGAGGTTGAGATCTAGGGATCGCAGTTCAAAGCCACCCTGGGCAGGAAAGTCCATGAGACTCTTATCTCCAATTAACCACCAGAAAACCAGAAGTGGTGCTATGGTCAAAGTGGCAAAGCACTAGCCTTGAACAAAAAAACCTCAAGGATAGAATCTATGCTCTGAGTTCAAACCTCACGACTGCCAAAAAAAAAAAAGTACAGACCTTTATTATCTTTGGTTACACTGTAGGTTCTTATGCATCACATCTAAATAAATTGTCCCTTTTCAGAACTGAAAATTTTTTAGGCCAGGTACTAGTGATCACTCCTGTTAACCCTTAGAAAGCTGGGCTCTTAGGACTACAGCTTGTGAAAAGTCTACTTCTTCTTGGGAAACTCTATCTCCAATTAAGCAGCAAAAATGCAGGACTAAAGGCATGATTCATGTGGTAGAGCACCAGCTATGTCCAAAAAAGCTGAATTCAAAGCCCTACTAGTGGCACCAAAACAAAACAAAATACTAGTAATGCTATTTTTTAACCTTTTATGCAATAGGAATCTTCTGCCTGCTACTGTCCTCTCTAAAGCAAAGGTAGTCTAGTATACTTTTTCACCTCCTAAACAGGTAAAACAGTATTATTAACACTGTAAGTCTCCTCATTTTTACATTAAACATTCCCACTTTTTTTTAGGTGGGGGGAGAAGGGGGAGTCAGTCATGGGGCCTGAACTCTGGGCCTGGGCGCTGTCCCTCAGCTCTTCCACTCAAAGCTAGCACT